TAATTATCAGAGGCTACGAGCTGCAGCGCTGCCAGGGATACCGTGGTTGTCACAGGGGTATCATTATTCTGTTGCAGAACCTTCTGGTAGCCAACATTGAAATTATCTCGTCTATGAGGAAAAATAAATCTACATTTTGTTTGGTAAGGTGGAACTGTTGTTGCTGCAGTCAGTCAAGCTGCTATACTGACACGTCCATCTTCTAATTGGTTTATGTGTGTGTGTTTAGAGGAACTTACACCCCAGTGGGTGGCAACAGGAGGCCACACCTCAGGATAATAATAATACATTTTATTTGAAGCGCAATTCTAAAAACTCAAGGTACAGTAAAAGAAAATAAAACATTCCAACAATCACAACAACGGTAAAAGACGAGTCCATTTAAAACCACTATAACACACAGTTATACGGAATGGGCATCCTTGAACAGGAGAGTTTTGAGTTTGGCCTTGAAGTGGTGCAGGGTAGTGGTATTTACACAACTCCCTTTCCACGATAGCACTGGTTGTGGCTCATCACTTAGTACCAAACTCCTGGCAGAGAATTATCGGTCAGTTTTTAATTCAATTCAATTTCAATTCAAGTTTATTTATATAGCACCAAATCACGACAAGAGTCGTCTCAAGGCACTTCACATAATAAACATTCCAATTCACAGTTCATTAAGCCAATCAGAAATAATGTTTCCTGTATAAGGAACCCAGCAAATTGCATCAAGTCACTGACTAGTGTCAGTGACTATACAGCAATCCTCATACTAAGCAAGCATGCAGCGACAGTGGAGAGGAAAACTCCCTTTTAACAGGAAGAAACCTCCAGAGAATCCTGGCTCAGTATAAACAGCCATCCACCACGACTCACTGGGGATCGAGAAGACAGAGCACACACACACACACACACACACACACACACACACACACACACACACACACACACACACACACACACACACACACACACACACACACACACACACACACACACACACACACACACACACACACACACCAAGTAGTGTTTCTATGGTTACATTGTGATTTCTTAGTAAATATTCTATTTGGTGAAAGATAAACTTTATTGTATTTATCCTAGTGGATATATAATTAAACGGGTAAACTAGTAGTAGCACATCCAACGTCAAGGAAACTAAAAGTTATTATCAGGAGAGGGAGAATGTTTAAGTGGTTAGCAGCAGTGTTTTAGACGATGGCCCCCTCCATGAGGCCACCACAGCTCAGCAGAACATCGTTGTAGCTTCTTCTGGGGAGAAAAACACTTAGAGAGAAAATAAAGTTAACAGCTGTGTAGCAGAGAATTAAGACTACACACTGAAATCACCTCTGTTGCTATTCAGTGGAGATTCCGAAAATGACCAGTCAGATTAACCTATGAAGCTTATATCATATGTATAAATATCCCGGATACTTATATATCGATCTAAGTTCATACATCGATCTGTTTGATGTAATTTTAATCCAAAGATTAATGTTTAATTTAGATAATTAAATTTAATAGCAAAAGTTATTTTTAAATCAGAAGCTAGGATCTTTGCTTTCAAATAACCAGAAATATTATACATTTTCTGTGTTTCGTTTCAATAAGGAGGCAAGTTTAAAAATGAAGAAATGTATTACTAACAATTTTAAACTTAAAGATTTGAAACAACAATTATAAAATGACAATTTTTAACAGCTTTGATATTAAACTTGTTTTAAAAGCAAACCTGAGGCTGAAAGGAAGCTAAATGAAAAATACGAGTTTGGATGCGTGAATGAGGTTATTAGGAGGTTTCTTTCACAGAGAGTTGGAAGCGTTCTGGATGAAATGATGTTTGCGGCTAACTGAGTTATTTAGAGAGAAAACAGCATCAAACACATTCTTGTGTTCTACCCTCTTGTGGATCCGGAGATCAGGAGGCTGTGGTTCATCCAAGATGACACTCAGTCTGGCAGGGGAGACGCAAGTGTATGGTCGTCTGGTCCAGACTTGTCCTGGGTACACGGTTGTCAGCGTTTGGCAGATGGACGTTCTCGTCTTAACTTAACTTCAGAAATCAACAACTCTGGGTAGAGTCTTCGTTAGCTGGTTACAGTTAGTTTATTCTTTAGCTATTCTGGTCGGCGTGACTGAACAGCAGGTGGAGGTTTCAGGACGGCCGTTTCCCTTTTCCTCCTTGGTGTTGGTTCAAGAACTGGTTCTGAAGCTGGTGATGGTTAGTTTTACCAAGCTCCAGGACACTCCCACCCTCTCAGGAAGAAAGCTTTGATCGTGCGTCAAAAACATGTGTGAAGTTATGTTTATCTGGACTCTGTGTTAGCTGGATAAGGTGGACTGACCTTCTAATATGCTGAACACATCTTTTACTGTCATCATAATCATTATTATTATTATTATAGTTAATCATTATTATACCCAAAGCATAATAATCCATTTCAAATTAAAATACCTTTATACTGAACCAAGTGATCACTTATGAGATTATGTTAAACAGTAATAAAATCAATGAGTTTTACTAATTATTCTCTAATTGTTATCATGTGACTTGAAGTGTCCTCTACCTGGGATGGAACAGCAGCAGATATGGTGATATGATCTTGCAGACATCGTGGCTCCTTGGGTTAATCTGTGGATTTACGTAAAAGTACTGTTTGACCCAGCTTGACCCAGCTGGGTAGATGTGACCCTTGCCACAAATTAGAGAACCTTCATCACGTT